AACCGCTTCCTTTTCAAGATGGTCCCGTCGCTGGTTTTCAGGATGTCGCCCACTTTGGGACGTATAGGAAGGAGTTGGCGGAGAGAAGTACGCGCAGGGGGTTGTTAATCTAACGCAGGCGAAGGCCAACGCCCTTCAGGACAAGCATCTGGGCCAACAATCGCTATCCCTTCGCAATCGAGTTACCAAGGCCCAGAACCTCATCCAGAAGCACCCGGAGAAGATTGGTAAGCACGTGGCCGCCACCACCGAGCCTGCTCACAGGGTCACACTCAGCTCGAGGCGGAGAAGGGCGAGGCCACGGTCGAGCTGCAGCAGCTCGAGTCTCCGTTGGCGGTCGCGCTGCGCACGGCCCTCCTGCAGTCCTCTCAGTCCAAGAACGACTTCTCAACGCAGGCCTCTCATTGCTTGGAGCTCTCACGGGCGGGGCTAGTCAGCGGAGCCCCACAACGTACCCAGCAGCAGGTCACCGACCACGAGAAACTTTGCAGGCTGCAGCGCGTGCATCAGGTAACCCACGACCTGCAGCAGGAGACCGAGCGGGAGCTGGACCAGCATCAGCTGTGCATCCCCAGCCTCAGCCCCAACCTCCTGAAGTATCCCGGCCAGGCTACCGTGGACCATCAGCGCCGCAGACCCCAAAGGAAGGAAGGGCAGCGGCACCACCGTCGGCTGCAGTTGACATACCAATTCTAAGCAAGCAGCGCGGCACCACGTACTCAGCCCACGTCATCGAACGAGTTGGTCTGGTGGTTGCAGGCGCTGGTGAGGAGAGAGCCAAGGCAGCCACCAAGCTGCGCGCCTGGGCAGGCAGGTCTCCGCGGCAGGGGTAGCAGAAGCAGATCGATGCAGACTGTCACCATCAACGTCAGCTGTTGGGAAGTTGTCGTAGTTTTTGTCTCGCCATCATTCTCGCAGAATGTGTTGCGAATGTGTTGTGAGGAGGCACTTAGTATGTGTCAGGATCGTCGATGTCGAGCAGTGGTGGCATACAGCAGGCCGGCGCAGCATTGTTTCCAATGCAGTTCTCAGCGATCTCGGCAAGCTTGGCGCGGGGTGCGTTATTTTTGTCCGCGATGGCTTCGATTTTGGGATCCGGCCAGTATCTCTTCCGTTTGCCACCTCAGCAGGCCGCGCAGTTGCGGCTATTCTCGAACTTCCCAATCACTACCCGATCGTGGCCCTCTGCTCTTATCAGGAGGTCCCAGCAAGGCCATCCTCGAGCTGCTAGCGACCGCGGGATAGGTCCAGAGCCATCACATTGTGCTACTATTCGCAGCAACCGATTCCATAACGGCGCCGTCGGTCATTCTGAAGACCACCATCCTTGACCGCGCGAGCCTGACGCTCATCAATCCGCCAGGCCTCACCTATCACATTAAGAATAGCCAGTCCAAGCCGGATTCGTTTATCGCTAGCAGCGTCTTGGGAGATTCGGTCAGCAGCATCCGGGTTCTGAAACAACGCCCGCTCTCACTTCTAAGGAGCCCCTGGGGTGGCGTCGGGCTGGGGCTGCCCCCCCATGCTCATGACCGCCAGGCCCTGGGCGCCGCCTTCGAAGTCCACGCGCGCGATTCGGAAGCCGCAGTTGCCCAGCCGACATATGCCCCGCTGAGGCGCAGGGCATCAGGCGCCAGCCTCCGAGGACAGGTGGTGATTCTGCAAGGACAGAAGAATCCAGACACAGCGAGCTGGCAGACGCGCGCTCGCCCTCCACGTTGGCTCAGCACCGAGGTCTATGCTGCACCGCGCGCGCTGCGCGGGTCTCGCCGCGGCAGTGGGCCTTGGCCTGTTCTTCCCGTGCCTCCTCCTCCTCCTCCTCCTCCTCCTCATCATCCTCACCCTTCTTCTCCCCGTCCGCCTTTTTCCCTGCTTTCCTCCTCGTTCTCCTCGTTCTCCTTCTCCCCCTTCTCCTCGTCCTCCTTGTCCTCGTCGTCGTCGTCCCCCTCCGCGTCCTCGTCGTCCTCCTCCTCTTCTCCTGCCCCTCCCCTCTTCCTCCTCGTCCTCCTCCTCGCCCTCATCCTCGTCCTCATCCTCCTTCTCGTCCATCTCCTCCACCTCCTCGTTCTCCTCTTCCTCCTCCACCTCCTATCCCTCTTCTCCGCCCCCCTCTTGTTGTTCCTCTCCCTTCCGTTCTCTTCACCCTCCTCCTCCTCCTCCTCCTCATTCTCCTCACAGGTTACGTTCGCTCCTCATTCTCCTCATTCTCCTCCTCCTCGTCCTCTTCCCCCTCCTTCTCTTCCTCCTCATCCTCCTTTTCCTCCTCTCGTTCTCCTCCTCGTTCTCCTCCTCCTCATCCTTCTCGTCCATCTCCTCCTCCTCCTCCTCCTCCTCCTTCTCCTCCTTTCCCACTTCTCCGCCCCCCCTCCTGCTCCTCCTGCTTCTCCTCCCATTCCTTTCTCGTGCCCCTCCTCCTTATCCTCCTCCTCCACCTCCTCTTCCTCCTATTCCTTCCCTCCTCCTCTTCCTCATCCTCCTCCTCCTCCCTCTGCTCTTCCTCCGCCTCCTCCTCCCTCTGCTCTTCCTCCTCTTCCTCTTCGTCCTCCTCTTCCCCTCCTCCTCTTCCTCCTCCTCCTCCTTCCTCCTCCTCCTCCTCCTCCTCGTCCTCGTCCTCCTCCTCCTCCTGCCCTCTTCCTCCTATTCCTCTCCTCCTTCCTCCTCCTCCCTCCTCGCCCTCCATTCCTTGCGGCTCCGCGCCCCGAGAGGGGCTTGGAGCCTGACCTCGCCTCGCGACCTTGCGGGGGGGAAGCAGGGCTGCCGCAGAAGTCGCGCCCGGCCGGGGGCAGTCGCAGGTTGCGGGCGACAGTTCCGTTTGCATGGTTGGTGTTTTGTCGTCGCCCCGAAGTCGCGGTGCCGTGGCAGCGGGCATGCGGGGGTGCCGTCTGTGGCGAGCGCTGCGCCTGGCTGGGCAAGTCAGCGCTTCGTCCAGGCAGACGCCTGGCGGTGCAACGGGGCGCCCCCGCCAAGGTGCCATGGCACTTGGAGCTTGCCGCGGGGCGTGGTTTTTGTTTTCCCGCCCGCCCTCCCTGTGTTCTGCTGGCTGGGGTGCTTCGGGGGCTCTCCCAGGATGACCCCAGCCAGCTACACGAAGATTGGCTGCCCATCGTACGTGCGAGAACACAACGGCACAGAGGGCGACGAGAAATTTGACTACCTCTGTTGGTTTAGGTTTTCACTTCTGTTTGTGCGTCAGCGGCTTCAACTACAGTGCTGCATGTTTTCGGACGCCGCAGCGGGCAGGTACTAGATTTAATGTTGTTTGTTGGTGGCGCCCTTCACGGCTTTCCGATGTTGTCGTGGATTGCTGGTGGTCAGCTCATCGATCAAACAATTTGGCCGTGGGTGTAGTCATCAATTGTTTTTGGGCGCCTCAGTGGCCTGGTCAACTACAGTGCTGCACTTTCCCACAGACGCCAAGGGGGCCGATGGCAATTCAAGGTTGTCTGGTTGGTGGCGTCCATCACGGCTCTTCGGATTTCGTGTTTGTTGGCGTTCATCTCATCAATCAAACAATTCGGCGATGGTTATTGTCTTCAGTTCGGTCTGGGCCCCAGGCCTCGTCATCTACAGTACTGCGGTCTCCCAGAGCCGCACGGAGAGTGCATCTCAATCATTTTGTTGCAGTGTGGACTTACTTGTTTCAGTCATTCAAACGACTGGCGTTCACCTGAGTTTTTTATTAGCTGCGGGTCATAGCTTTTCCGAGGTGCAAGCGTTGCTGATTTTGGCATGAGCGTGGATTAAATTAAGCCGTGCTAGTGGGCTATGACAACAGCGTGGTTCCGCGGGATTCCGGCATGCATCCGTCTCGCTCTGCCACCGCAGATTGCCGCATGGGACGTGTGAAACGACAGGCGTTTCGCCGGGCTGCCAGAGGCTATGGGCAGAGCGATGACGGCGGACGCCCATTGATTCTCGATCCCTGCAGAGGCCTTCGTGGGCCAGCTTAGCTGGAAGCCCGAAAATGTCAAAATGTCCAAGTCATGTGACAACAATGGGAATTCGATGGTTCTGATGTATCGAACGCTGATTACTGTCGTCCACGGGCCATTTGGGGGTATCGTGGATCGTTTTGGAACCATGTTGGGCCGCCTCTTGGCCATCTTGGGCCGATTCTGAGGCATATTTAATGCGTCGTCTTAGAACTTTTCGGTGGTACGTACTCTCTTGGCATGTGGCTAGCTGGGATGTGCAAAGGGCCTCCAACAATGCGCGAAAAGGAGCAGTGGGAAAGCCCACGTGTGAAACTCGCGTGATTTTTTTAAACGAACAAGAAACAACAACACGACAACCGCACACCCTACAAACGAAATTTACCAGTTCGATAGGCAAAGGGGCCTTTTCCGAAGGAGCGCCCTGGAGCAGCTTCCCGCGGAACTGGCGGAGGAGGACGGACGGGAGGGAGGAGGACAGCGGACGGAGGAGGGAGGCGAAGGAAGGAAGGGAGGGAGGCAGCGGAGGGAGGAGGAGGAGGAGGAGCAGGAGGAGGAGGAGGAAGGAGGGAGGAGGAAGGAGGAAGGAGGAAGGAAGAGGAGGAGGACGAGGACAAGGAGGACGAAGAGGAAAAGGAGGACAAGGAGGAGGAGGAGGAGGAAGAGGAGGAGGAAAAGGGCGGCGCACGGCGGAGGAAGAGATAAAAGAGAGGAGGGGGGGCGAGGGCGACGCAGGACAGAGCGGGTGAAGCATGAGGGAGGAGGACAGAGAGAGGGCAGGAGGGCGAGCGAGGACGGAGGGAGGAGGACAGAGAGGGCGGACAAGAAAGAGAGAGAGAGAGGACGGAGGAGGAGGGACGAGGAGGGCGAGGGGAGGAGGACAGAGGGGGTGGACGGGGACGAGGGAGGCGCAGGGGGGAGTGGGTGGGCCGGAGGGTGCAGGGAGGAGCGAAATGGAACGGAGCGGACCGACATCGCGAGGCGAAGTGCTGCTCGGCTGTAATTCGGCCACGGGGCTCGGCGCGGGGGGGGGCACCGCACCCCGCGGAGACGGCCCTCTGCGCCCAGGGGCGCCGCAGAGGACGCGCTCCTGCACGAGCAGCTCGCCCTGGGCCTCCTGCAGCGGGGCCACGGCGTCGTGCCGGGCGGCGCCTCGCCGCGGGCGGGAGAGCCCGCTGGCGGCCAGCAGGACCCGGAGGGGGGGGGGCGCCTGCGGCACGCAGGGGCACCGAGGCTGCCCGGAGACGCACGTTGTGAAGCGCAACGCTGACGGGCAGATTTGCCACCGCCGCTACCAGGTGCAGCACGGGGGGGCAGGGAGGAGGAGGTCCTCCTCCTCCTCCTCCTCCTCCTCCTCCTCCTCCTCCTCCTCCTCCTCCTCCTCCCTTTCCTCCTCCTCCTCCTCCTCCTCCTCCTCCTCCTCCTCCTCCTCCTCCCTCCTCCGCCTCCCTCTCCTCCTCCTCCTCCTCCTCCTCCTCCTCCTCCTCCTCCTCCTCTCCTCCGCCTCCCTCTCCTCCTCCTCCTCTCCTCCTCCTCCTCCTCCTCCTCGTCCTCCTCCTCCTCCTCCTCCTCCTCCTCCTCCTCCTCCTCCTCCTCCTCCTCCTCCTCCTCCTCCCTCTCCTACCCATGGTAGCGGTGGTGGGAAATGGGCCCAGCAAACGCGTGCCGTGTTCAAAGCGTCCGTATCGACACGCTGCGTGTTGGCTCGGCACGTGTTGTCCCACGTTTGGGCGAGCGTATGGCGCCAGACCTACGTGGTCAGCCCATGTGTTGAGCTCCGTGTCAACACGCTACGTGTTGCGTGCTGCGATTCAGGCCAGCCCTCGGGCCTAGCAGGTGCATTCGCCATGGGCGGACTTTTTCCTACCGGTGCGAACTTGCACCACGAGTCACGAGGCTTTGCTGACGTTAGCCTTATTGGGCCCGCCCTCTGGGCCACGAGCGGCCACGGGTCAGAGCAACTATCAACCACGCCATGGACGGCCCAGAGATCCGAGGCTCCGAGTAAGGTGGAGTGGGCGTTCTTGTGCTGCTGTTTCCAGCCTCCGCAGGCCTTCGGCGGGCCCTGAGGCCGTCGGCAAACGCATCAGGACGAGAAGCCGGTCCCAGGAGATGGGTCGAGCCCCCTGGGGGTCGACGTACGGCAACAAGACATCCTGTCGGGGGTCTGGGATTTGTTCCCAGCGCCGGCGTGCACTCGCCATAAAAGACGGCTGCGCGCAGGAGGAGGAGGAGGAGGAGCAGGAGGAGGAGGGGGAGAAGGAGGAGGAGGAGGAGGAGGAGGAGGAGAAGGAGGAGGAGGAGGAGAAAGAGGATGAGGAGGAGGAGGAGAGGAGAGGAGGAGAGGAGGGGGAGGAGGAGGGGAGGAGGAGGAGGAGGGGCGGAGGAGAGGAGGAGGAGGAGGAGGAGGATGAGGAGTGCAGGAGGTGCAGGAGGAGGAGAAAGAGGAGGAGGAGGAGGAGGAGGAGGAGGAGGAGGAGGAGGAGCACCGACTTCTCGCTGGCGTGACCTCTGGTGCGGGCCCGCGGGGGCTCCCTCCGGCACGGGCCTGCGCGCCTGGGCTCCGTCTCCTGGCGCCCCCCCGGAGGCCGCGCACCGAGGGCCACGTTTGCCTGAGGCCACTCTTGCGCGCCTCCTCCTCCTCCTCCTCCTCCTCCTCCTCCTCCTCCTCCTCCTCCTCCTCCTCCTCCTCCTCCTCCTCCTCCTCTTTCTCCTCCTCCTCCTCCTCTTTCTCCTCCTCCTCCTCCTCCCTCCTCCTCCTCCTCCTCCTCGTTCTCCTCCTTCTCCTCCTCCTGCTCCTCCTGCTCCTCCTCCTCCTGCTCCTCCTCCTCCTCCACCTCCTCCTCCTGCTCCTCCTGCTCCTCTCCTCCTCCTTCTGCTCCTCCTGCTCCTCCTCCTCCTCCTCCTGCTCCTCCTCCTCCTTCTCCTCCTCCTCTTTCTCCTCCTCCTCCTGCTCCTCTCCTCCTCCTCCTCCTCCTCCTCTTTCTCCTCCTCCTCCTCCTCCTCCTCTTTCTCCTCCTCCTCCTGCTCCTCCTGCTCCTCCTGCTCCTCCTCCTCCTCCTCCTCCACCCCTCCTTCTCTTCCCCTTCCCCTGCTCCTCCTGCTGCTCCTCCTCCTCCTCCGCCTCCCTGGGGCCACTCTTGCGCGCAGCCGAAGGTGGAGGGTCCTGCGGCAAACGGGTCCTGGGGCCCCGTTTGTTTCGTCCCGGGGCTTTTTCTTCTTCTCGGGTCGTTCTGTTGGCGGTCTTTGGGCACATGGGGGCCCCAGTGGCGCGCAAGCGTGAAAGCACGTCCGGGACCCCCTTCCTCCAGGCCGCATGTCCTGCCAGCTAACATATACTCACGTGGCCAAGCCAGAGGGGGACATACACCTATTTGGGGGCCCAGCACCACGGCCAACGCGCCACCCCTCGCGGGGCGGCCTACGACGCCTCCCCCAGCCGGAGGTTGCAGATGCCTTCAGCGGGATGCCGCAAGACCAGGGGGAGCCGCGCTTCCAGAAGGACGATGACGTTATAGTCATCGTCATCGTCATCGTCGTCATCATCCTCGGCTACCCACGGCTGTTCGACGAATTAAGCACGGCATAAAGGTGGACTTCCGGAGGGCCGCTCGGATTTTTGTGGGTCGGCGTTGGACCCCCCTCCCCTGCACCGCCTCCCCGGCGCGCGTAGCCGGGGAGGCGGTCCATTTGGGCGCCTTCCTATTTCAAGCATCGGGCGGTTTTCCTTCTTCGCTCCTCTTCAGAGGAAGGGCGGCCAACGCCTTGGTACTTCAAATTTCTACGCACTTCTTCCGACCGACGGGTAAACGCTCAGAAGTCCGTTGGGGTGAATATGCCGTCAGATGTGGAGAAGGCGCGGCATAGGGAGTCAGCTGCCGAAGGCCCCGAGGGTGCTCTGCTGCTTGCTAGTGGAATGGTGCTCTGCTGCCTCTGACGGCGGTGGTGGTGCCGATGCCTTCTGCTCGCACGGCAGCTTCGCGTCGTGTCGACGCGGCGGCGACCCCGCCGCGGGCGTTCAAGGCCGCCAGTGGCCCAGATCCGGCCGAGATGGAAGGATCTGGCGATCGATCACAACGTCGCCGTTCGTCCAAGACTGAACGATCCACGCGGTTTCGGAAATCAGCATCGGGGTTGTTAAGACATGAGCCTGCCGTAGAGGAAATCCGGGCCTTCCAGATGGGGCCGGAGTAGGGGATCGGACGACTGCGCCTCCTCATCACCGATGCAACGGCCATGCGGCGACATTCGGAGCGTGAGTTTCTTCATCTTTCCGTCGCCAATGCATCGACGATGTGGCGCGATCCTCTGACCCCGTCTACAGCTGGACCGATGTAGGAGATCGCGGTCGGTTCGGGGAGGATGCCCTAGTGTTCTTCGTGTTTGTTGGATGTTCTTGTGCATCCCGGGGAGGGTACCCTTGGATGTTCTGTGTGTTTCGGCCTGCAGAGGGTCCCATGTTCTTGAGGGATGTTCTTCTGGCCAGGGTCCGATCCGACCGTACTCCGACCTCGTCTGGGAGGCATCCAAGGAGAAGCCCGTCCGCGCACCGCCAGCCGCCGACGCATCCTCGGCGACCGCGCCGTCGCACCAGCCTCCTGGAGCAGTCGGGGTGGCCCGGGCGGGCACCGCAAAAGCCATGACGACGGCCAGGGTCAGGGCGAGGGCGAGGGCGACGACAGCGGCGACATCGGCGGTAACGGCGATCTCGACGACTGAGGGGAAGGATGACGATGAGGAGGAAGAGTAGGGGGAGGAGGACGAGGAGGGGGGGATGAGGACAGGGGAGGTGTGAGGGATGCGGAAAGCGGATGTAGGTGTGGAGGGGGGGAGGGGGGCATGGATTGGGCGGGGGGGGGTGCAGGAGGGGGATGGAGATGGTGAGCAGAAGGACGAGGACAATGAGGTTTTTGAGGGACGAGGAAAAGGTAGAGGAGGAGGTCGAGGAAGAGGAGACAGCGGAGGAGCAGGGACAGAGGATGAGCAGGACGGGGAGCGGGAGACCGAGGGGGAGCAGGGGGAGGACACATGATCATTCGAATGCCGGGGGGGGGAGGAGGAGGAGGAAGAGCCCACGAGGAGGAGCCCACGAGTTGATTGAGGAGGTTTGGTGGGCTTGAGACTGTCTGGGGATATATATACATCTTGAGCCCGACGCACATCGGATGCGATCCAACTTTATGTATTCGGGTCGCTGCGCACTCAAGATGGGAAGGGGGTACTTGCTAATAAAGGGCAGAGGCAATCGCCACCCTGAAAAGGGAAACGGGCGGCTGGAAGAGCCAACTCGCTAAACCGCCTAAGCCAAGATGTCTGGTGGGATCCCCATGCGAAGGGAGCACGAGGTTGACCTGCCGTGCGAACGAACAAAAGCAACAACGGGGTCGATTGCGCGGACACTCGCGAGTAAGCTGATTGCGTACGGTCCCATGCAAGCGCCTTCTTTTCCACGCGGCGTGCCACGCTGGCGGACCGCGTGAGCCGCCGCGTAAGGCCGCTGTGCCATCGCGCGTAAGACACGTTCTCTCCGTCGTTGAGAGTTAGTTTTTCGGCGGTGTATCATGATATGGGTCGCCGCCCGCTCCGTTGTCGCGGGAACCGGGCTGCGGCAGGACACACAGGCGGCGCAGGAGTCGGAGAAGGAAGAGGAAGAGGAGCATGACCCCAGCCGGAGCCCACCGCCGTTGTGCTGGCAAAGCTTGGAGCTGCGCACGCACACACGCACACACACAAACACGCACACACGCACACACACACACACACACACACACACACGCACACACGCACACACACATACACAAACACACACACACACACACACACTTTTTGCCTCGCCGCCCTGCGCGCAGCGACAGTGCGGAGAAGGTCGTAAAGCAGCAAACGCCCGCGCGCGCGACCGGGAGCGCCCGCGCCTTCAGAGACCGCTTAGGGTCCCGCAGTCGCCCGCAGCCACAGGCCATCTGGGCGTGGATCACGCACACACACACACACACGCACGCACACAGACACAGACACAGACACAGACACAGACACACACACAGACACACACACACACACACACACACACACACACACACGCACACGCACACACACACACACACACACACACACACACACACACACACACACACACACACACACACACACACACACACACACACACACACACACACACCAAACACACACACACACACACACACACACACACACACACACACACACACGCGCGCGCGCGCGCACGCACGCACGCGCGCACGCGCGCACGCGCCCGAGGCAGCCGCCTGGTATCGGCACGCCCCCCGAGCGGCCAAGGGCGGCCTCCGCACCCCGGGGCGCCGCCTCCGGCGGTGCCCCTCGGGGGCGCGCCGCGCCCCCCGGGGCTCCGCCGGAGGGTGGCAGAGGCCCACCCTGCCAGGCCGACTCGCACCTCTGCTCCTGCGGGTGCCTCTGCGGCGCAGCCGCGGCCGCAGCCTCTGCGGCCGCGGCTCCTTCTCCTCCTCCTCCTCCTCCTCCTCCTCCTCCTCCTCCTCCTCCTCCTCCTCCTCCTCCTCCTCCTCCTCCTCCTCCTGCCTCCTCCTCCTCCTCCCCCTCCCCCTCCCCCTCCCCTCCCCTCCTCCTCTCCTCCTCCTCCTCCCGGGGGTGCCGCGGCCGCAGCCTCTGCGGGGCCTGCGCCCGCGGGCGCTGGTCCCCGGTCGGCTTCGCTGCGGGGTGCTCTGCTGAAGGACCCCCCCCTGGGCCACCACTGCTCGCGGAGGGTCTGCTCGCAGACGTCCTGACAGAAGCATGCCTCCCTCGATGTAGCGGATCGTACATCCCCCGCGGCGGATGCAGGCCATCTGCGGGTAGTCACTCTGCGAGTAGTGGAACGCGCTCTTCTGCTGGGGCTGGTGTGTTCAGATCGCCCCGCGGCCAGCCCGGACCACCTCTGGGGGCTGCCCGTGCGCAGACCGTAGGCCACGCCCCCGCAGGCAGAGAGCTCTGAGAGGCCCCAGCCACAGGCCGCCCTGCTCGGGCGCATCCGCAGGTCGCTGGCGTGCACCGCCTCCCCTGCCGCCGTCCCTCGCTCCTGCGCTCCTCCGCCGGCTTCCGCCCATCGCCTGACCCTAGCACTTTGACCAGCGCGCCGCCGAGCGAGCGTTCCTCGAGGAAAGGCCTGTGCGCGCCGCGGGCAGGAACAGAAAGCCCGGGCCACAGGCCTCCCGGCGGGGGCGTCTCCGCTGGTCGCTGGTCGTGGAGCGCGGGGCAGAAAACATGCGTCCAGCAATGCCCAGCGTGGGATTCAGGAATAACCGCGGGCGGCAGGAGGATAGGAAGGAGCGGGAAGAGGAGGAAACATATTGCCATGCCTGGTGTTGCGTGTGCTACCTGGCAAGGCGACTGGGCGCGAAACACATGGGGAACATACTGCAGTCGGACCGAGGTATAAGATTCAGGTCGGCTCGGGGAGGTTGCCCTCATGTTCGTCGTGCTCGCTGGATGCTCTTGTATATCCTGGGGGGGGTACCCTTGGATGTTCTGCGTGCTTTGGCCGACGGAGGGTCTCATGCTCTTGTGAAGGATGCTCTTCTTTCCTGGGTCCGACCCCCCGCGTGGTCGCTCGCCCCTTCCGGGCCTGAGATCTCGCGCCTGCCGCCCCGAAGAGAGCTCCCGGGCGACAGGCCTCCCTGCTCGGGCGCATCCGCCGGTCGCTGGCCACGGCGCAGTACCGGCCCAAGACGATGGGCCTGTTTTCCACCACCACCACCACCATAAGTTGGAGGGGGGAAGGAGGAGGAGGAGGAGGAGGAGGAGGAGGAGGGAGGGGAGGAGGAGGAGGAGGAGAGGAGGAGGAGGAGGAGGAGGAGGAGGAGGAGGAGGAGGAGGAGGAGGACCCCTCCCCCCTCCAGCTTCTGGTGGTGGTGGTGGTGGTGGAAAACAGGCCTATCACAAGAGCCACCACTTCCTCGTGGCCCTGCTGGTGCTCGGCAGCGTGTTCGTCCGCCGGCGCTGCCGCGCGCCCCGCCGCTCAAGCGACGGGGGTCAATGCAGGAAGGCAAAATTATCCTGGCGAAGGACCCAACCATACGCAGTTGTGAGTACCGCAATTGTGAATATCTTCTTCGGTGGTGCTCCCTATGGGGCCACGAACCGTATGATGGTGTGCCGAATTGTGTGGCGTAGCCTCTGCAGGGGGCTTCCCTGAGAACCCCGACGGCAGCGCCCGCGCGCCGCGACGCCCATGTCGGCACGCCCCGCACGAGGATCGCGCCCGCTTCCTCCCCTCCTTTTTCCTTTTCCTTTGCCCGCACAGTCCAAAGTCTAAGGCTGCGGGCGCAGCGCAAGGCGGAGCCCTCGCGACGCGCGCAGGTCGCCCCGAAGGGGTCACAGTGACGCGCACGGTTCGTACGCTGTGTGGAACAGAGATTGCTTGCTGGCTAATTGATAATGCGCATGGCTCCGGGCGGAGCGACGACAGGCGAGCGAGGCGCTGGACATAGCGCAGCGCGGAGTTCGCGCGACGCACGCTGATCGCCCCGAGAGGGACCCAGCGACGCGCGCAGGGCGTCCGCGGCGCGAGGCCAAACAGTTAGACAGCCGAGAGAAGGCGCGGCTGTGGCGGGCCGCTCCTCCAAGGGGTGTGCCGAAACTGGTGTGCGGGACGCATGCGGGCACACCCACTGGGACGTTCGGTGGAGCTCCCTATGGGGCCACGAAGCGTGTGAGGGGTGTGCCGGAATGGGTGTGCGGGGCGCATGCGGGCACACCCACAGGGACCTTCGGTGGAGCTCCCCATGGGACCACGAAACGTGTGAGGGGTGTGCCGGAATGGGTGTGCGGGACGCATGCGGGCACACCCACTGGGACCTTGTGGAGTTCCCTATGGGGCCACGAAATGTGTGAGGGGTGTGCCGAAATGGGTGTGCGGGGCGCATGCGAGCACACCCACTGGGACCTCCGGTGGAGCTCCCTATGGGGCCACGAAGCGTGTGAGGGATGTGCCGAAATGGGTGTGCGGGACGCATGCGGGGACACCACCTGGGACCTTCGGTGGAGCTCCCTATGGTGCCACGAAGCGTGTGAAGGGTGTGCCGAAGTGGGTGTGCGGGACGCATGCGGGCACACCCACTGGGACCTTCGGTGGAGCTCTCTATGTGGCCACGAAGCGTGTGAGGGGTGTGCCGAAATGGGTGTGCGGGACGCATGCGGGCACACCCACTGGGACCTTCGGTGGAGCTCCCTATGTGGCCACGAAACGTGTGAGGGGTGTGCCGAAATGGGTGTGCGGGACGCATGCGGGCACACCACGTGAGACCTTCGGTGGAGCTGCCTATGGGGCCACGAAGCGTGTGACGGGTTTACCGAAATGGGTGTGCGGGACGCATGCGGGCACACCCACTGGGGCCTTCGGTGGAGGTCCCGATGGGGCCACGAAACGTGTGAGGGGTGTGCCGAAATTGATGTGCGGGACGCATGCGGGCACACCCACTGGGCCTTTCGGTGGAGCTCCCTATGGTGCCACGAAGCGTGTAAGGGGTGTGCCGAAATTGGTGTGCGGGGCGCATGCGGGCACACCCACTGGGACGTTCGGTGGAGCTCCCTATGGGGCCACGAAACGTGTGAGGGGTGTGCCGA